CACTAGTAAATATTACAATGTACCAATCGATACCATGCAAACAGTCATGTACTTTACCAACTAGATTACAATACTTCTATGATTGTCTTAAAGATAATTTTCAAGGAAGAATTAACAAGGTGAGGAGTAGAATTTCATGCAACAAATTCAGCTACAGAACAACAATCCTTAATTTTACTGTCCGTATTCTTTTTTTTTTTTGAGTTGGAGTCTCACTCTGTCGCCCAGACTGGAGTACAGTGGCCACTCCCAGCCACCGCAGCCTCGACCTGCTGGGCTCCGGCGATCCTTCTCTGCCTCAGTCTTCCAAGTAGCTGGAACTACAGGCAGTGCTACCACACCTGGCTGATTTTTTGATTTATTAGATAGTAGAGATGAGGTCTCGCTGCCCAGGTGGGTCACGAACCCGTGGGCTCAGGCAATCCACTCACCTCAGCCTCCCAAAGGCGTGGGATTACAGGCTGAGCCACCGAGCCCGGCTTGTATTTTTCTTTAGGTCTAAAACTATTTTAAAGTAAAAAGCTGATTTTAAAAAGTCCCCAATGAACTCCATTTTTGGTTGTGCTAAAAAGAACAAATACAGAGGCAACCCCTTCGGGTCCCTTCCCGCTGTGGGAGCTTTTCTGTCCTTTCAATAAATCCTGCTTTCTAAAAGAGAAAAGAAAAAAAAAGAACAAGTATAATAAACATGGACCAGATTAACTTTGTCAGCTTTGGGGGGTATTTTATTTCTCTGGGGAGTCTGAGAATTCGGCAACAGTGACATGTTAATAAAGATGCCAGTCTTCTCCTTTAAAGTAAAAAATGCCACAGGATGCTACTTTTATAAACTTTTAAAACTTCTACTTTAAATAATATTTTGTCCTTCATAGGGGATTATACAGAATATATATATTACCTTTGAATGACTCTTACAAACTTTAAAGAAAAGACAGACACACACGAACATAATATCTTTATAATTCTATCAAAACTAGAGTTTGACTCTTGATAACTTATAAGTCGGGCTTTATATAAGGGGAAAATTTTATCAATGAAAATGTGCTATACTTCTTTGAATAAAGGAGAAATGGTAATTATCTGGCAGGTCTTTTCTAAAATAGTCATATGTAATAAAATTATTTTGGAACCAAATGAACTTTATAACCAAAAAAAAAATTTTTGGAGACAAATCTCATAAAAGAAAAGCATACAAAAGTCATAAGAGAAAAAGCAAAAAGCATATTCAATAATTCAGTTGGTAAATTCTTAATATAAACTAAGTGTATAGCATATTATTTTGAGAATACATAGAACAGTTCCAGTGATAATACTTCAATGTTTACCATGCATTCTT